TGCAAGGAAGCCCCGGGAAGGTGCATCCAAGTGGGGCTCTGCATCCGCCCAGCCCTTCTCCCCTGGCCGTCTCCCATTCGGTGATCAGTGCGGCAATTAGCAGGCGGGGTCCCTGAGCCGTCCGGCACCATCTTAGCACCCGGGCACGACTCTTATCCTTCCCTCCAGTGTTCCCTCTAAGCTGAGTGAGGGTGAGCTAGCTCGCAGTTTTTTTAGCCTCCGGCTCACGCATTTTTGTCTCAGCTCAGCAAGCATGGCTCCAAAGAGAACTGATTTATGCAGGAGCCAAATCGCTCACTCACAACTTTAATGCCAGTGGCTCACAAAGTAGATTTTTGCTCGCAAGACTCCACAGCTTAGAGGGAGCACTGCTTCCTTTTTCCTTCCCATGGGAACTAACTGCTCAGAGCCAAGCAGTCCCACCCACTGTGGAGAGCGAGCCAAGGCCCCATAGCCACCCCCAGACCCCAGAACACCCACCTGGGCCCACCCAAACAATATCCAGTGTTTCTACTTCAACCTCCCCAGCCTAAAAACCTACCCACGCTTTTGTCTTCGCGATCCACCCCTAATCAAACGGACAGAACTTCCCAACTTTCTGAACACAGCACACCCTGGCTGCATTTCCCACTCCAGGCTTATACACCAGAGACCTCAACTGCCTCACTTAGGAACAAAAGCTGTGATTCTTGAGACTATCAAAAAAAGTGGGTGGGGGACCGTCCAGGTCATAACAAAAGTTCACTTTTGTTGTTGTTCAGTCGCACAGTCGAGTCCGACTCTTCACGACCCCATGGACCAAACTACCTTGCATTTTTTTTTTAATCTTTCTGCTTTGCACATTTGTGTAACAGGACTTTCCAAACTACTGGACACACTAGCATGCTGCAAGGGGGAAAAATGCACAGAAGAGGCTCCCTGCTGCATCTCTGTATGATTTACTGCTCTGGGCCTCATCTCCATGCAAGAACAGGTAGTTCTGCCATGCTTCACAATAGGATGCAGTTACACCAATCACTCCCAAAGCCGAGACATAGCAGACCTATGTGCTCTGAAAGGAGTATGCCCACTACTGCTCTGTTTGGTCTAATGGTTAAGAGCGGCAGGCTGTAATCTGGAGAACTGGGTTTGATTCCCCACTCCTCCACATGCAGCAAGCTGGGTGACCGTGGGTCAGTCACAGTTCTCTCAAAGCTGTTCTCTCAAGAGCAGTACTCTCAGAGCTCTCTCAGCCCCGCCTGCCTCACAGGGTGTCTGTTGTGGGGAGCTGCTCCGAGACTCTAAGTGAAGGGTGGGGGACAAATCCAATCTCCTCTTCTGTATGAATCACTGCCCTGGGCTTGCCTCCTAACACAGAAAAAACACAGGACGCAGGCTCCTCTGAGCGGACAACTTCCTTAGACAATCTGAAAAAGCACACGCTTTTTCAGATTGTCTAAGGAAGTCATCTGCTCAGAGGAGCCTGCGTCCTGTGTTTTCTGCCGAGTGAAGCGAGTGTGCTGTAACTACCCGGAACTTGGGAAGCGCGGTTGCAGTGCAAGCAGGATACTTCGGGAGGAAGGCAGTGGATCAGAAAGCATTCCCCATGATATACTCACCATTTTTATGTTTCATGGACTTGGATCTTCGGGGTGAGTTGGGATTCTGAAATGAAAATGACAGCGTAGATCAGTTTTTTAAAAAGCCACACACCCCGAAAAGGCGCTCAGTTCTTCCTGCTACCCCTAAAGAGCCACAATTTGTGTGTTTCTGTGTGTGTCGCACGAGGGGGCGGTGTTCAAATGACCCAAGGCCACCCAGACCACCCAGCCCAGCCCTCCACACCCCACCCTCAAACAACAGAGCAGTGGGACTGCTGAAGCAACAGGGGCTTCGGAACAAAATGGCTCCCGGGGAGTCAGGGGGGCCGATGCAGGAGAAAAGAAGAGGAGATTGGATCTATACCCCATGGCCCTTCACTACCCGAAGGAGTCTCAGGGCGGCTGACAATCCCTTTCCCTTCCCCTCCCCACAACAGACACCCTGTGAGGGAGGTGGGGCTGAGAGAGCTCTTTTGAGAACTACTCCTGAGAGAAAAGCACTGGAAAAATTTCGTGA